AATGTGACATCCCAAAGTAATATTTTTTCTGATATCATATATACCTTGCAGTTTTATGTTATTTTATGATTGTGCCAAAAATAAGATATATTTTTATTAGGATTCCCCATACCCAAATACAAAGTATTTCGAGCTATGTCACTTTTTGTATAACAATAATGTTAAGAAACTGTCCTCTTTCGAATGGTATAGACATGTCCTATAACTATATGTCATAATTGTTGCACAATTTACCTACATATTTCTTCAATTTAAGGGTCAATCAATTTTCTAACAAAAACAGCATATTATGTAAACAAAGAGGAATTAAACACCTTGTTGAACTCTTAAAATATTCAAGAATAACTATCATGACCTAAACCTTCAACTTTATAATTTTAATAACATATGTTATTTTTTAGAAATGATATTAACACTGTTCCACTTATGATACTTCTACTGATGTCATAATACTAATAAATATAGTCATAAAGCTTTTAGTAATATACATTGTAGTAAACTTTATAGAGTTTTTACTAGTAATAAGATGAAAAATTATTAAGGAAAGTTATATAAAAATAATAAGTGGTGGAAAATGTAAAACATGTGACACAATACAATAATGATGAATTTCATTCAAATATCTTACAACAAAGGTCTAGTTATATGGAGCCTTACAGATCAAAAGATATTGTTTACTATAGCTATTAATGGAAAGCAAGATAAAAGGGTGAACTGAATGTGATTGAAAATGTCAAGGCAATCTTTGAAGGATAGTAACATTAGTACAACACATAGAAGAGTATAAATCTTTAGGTGCTAAGAAGAAAATACTTAGAAGAGAAACTATGCTAAAAACATTGGAAATCAAATTACAGGGACCATATCCACATAAGATATAGAGTTATTAATTCATACAAACACATAAGATTTTATCAGTGAAACTTTCAACAAACTCTGTAATTTCCATATGGCTATTTCTTCTTGCTACTTTTGCCAATTATTTAATTCTTAAACAAAAGAATAATGATCCCTAGAAAAACTAAATGAAACTAATCTTCCTGTGCATAATATGTGTCCTATTGGAATACTTGGAATCACTTAAATGGCTAAATTGTTTTCAAAACACAAATATTTAAAACTTTAACAAAAAGTTTTTTTAATTAAAAATACACTGCGGAGAATATTCCTACTATGTAAGTATGAAAGCATGGAAACATGGGTGTTTTCAATTCTTTTTTAGAGATCTGGAATATTTAAGTAATGGATATATGGAGTAAAAATCACAAAGTTCACAAAAGTAAGAAATAAATCAACATAACCAGGAAGTGAATATAACTGCAATACAAGGGTAAGTAATACATTGTCTGACATGCAATATTCTGGGATATAAATGTAAAACAAAAAATGTATAAATATAAGAGACAGACTGTTATCATGATTTCAAAAGCAAAGATATTGTCCTGTATCATAAATGCTATATGTGGTATTTCTAAGGTTGAAAAATTATAAAAATACTGGGGGTTTATAAAATATAAACTATTTAAGTAATACATAAATTACTATATTTTTCAAATATATTCTTTGCTTGATTACAGTGTTTTGTTACCACTCCACAATTATCAATTATTGGTTTATAAGAACTCAGCTCTAAAGTTGATCTGCTCAAACTCTAAAGGTATTGAATGTTCCACATAAAATCATCAATGTCGTCATAAGGGAAACGGTGATGACGTCATAGCTAAAAAATAAATATTTCGATATGCAAACAAAAATAAACAATCTACTAAGTATTTATAGCTAGATGTAAAACTTAAAATCTTAGAAAGAAAATATATTTTTGTCTGTATAGAAGTAATGCTACCGGTTTTTGTTGAATAAAGATGTTAATTTATGATTAATTCATGTGTATTTGAAATAATATAAACATTGTTTTATTTGTAAACTTATAATAGATAAAAGAACACAAAAAACACCAAATAACAACAACTAATACTATTTATTTTACAAAGCTGAGTGCACACCCACTTCAAATACAACACATGCACATTTCACTGTGGGTCTTCTTCACAAGCAACTAATACAGCATTACCTGTTTAACAAGAGGAAGAAGAGTCTGTTCTATACTACGAGTTTTTATTTCTAATAGATCAAAATTTGTTGAACCTAACTCTGCCATTTTCTACACTAACGAACATCTTTATTTCGTACATAAATCTTCCCCATAATCTTGTCTTTCTTTAATTCATAACCTTGTCATTTCCACTTGTACTATAATCAGCTGTTCACTTCATTTCCAATGCCGTGCCGAATGCCCTTATGTCAAAATTTAGAAAGATCCAGGTGTATGTTTCGCCATCTATATTCTAGTAGTCAAACTCTCAGCAGTGTATTGTCGGTTTCTTATTAAGGCATGAGATAACATATTTATTATTAATAAGTTTATAAGGTCTAAAAAATAAAACAGGCTTAAAAATCAATGCCAAAACACATTATTTGGTTTTAACAGTTGTTTTACATATTATTAGCTAATTTACAGTTTATATTACATACTTGCGCCAACTGTAGGCAACGTACAGTTAGGAATTATTGTATTGTTGCCTGATTTTCAATATTCTTTTAATAAATCCTAATTATGTATAAAATATGATAAATTTGTATATATCAGATTAGGTGAGGATATTTTCGGAAAGACCAAACGTTAAAAAGCCTAATTAATTCGTTGACTCAGTCTTTTCACTTAACTGTGTTGAAGTGTGCACATATTAGTGCACATTAATTAGAAATGTATAAAAAATATAACTAAAACGATTTCGATTATAATCAAAAACACTATTATAAGAAGTGAATATCAGTAGCTATTGAAAATTTTGTAGCTCGTTGATATAAATCGGAAATTTACATATGTTTGTGATTATCAATAAAGTTTATCCTTTCCTCATTTTTTACTGCTTCAAAAATTCGTTTCATAAAAGCCCTTCTTACTTATAGTTCAATGCTTTGGTGGGAGCAGATAGCTTTGCAATTTGGTAGGACCTCCTCTCACCACCCTACAAAGACGAGCGCTTCTAAATATAACATGAGCATTAAATATTACAGGAACGGCATCTTTAGAGGATATCACAGGTATCCTTACGCTGCAAATATATATTCTGGCGGTAGCCTTTATAACCAATAACCACACAAATATTAGTGTGACTAAACTTGGGGAATCCATCTTTTGGATAAACTCAGATATGATGACACCAGATAATATTCACTAAAAAGATTGACATAGTTATACAATATAGAGAACAAAAAGTCCCAAATAATATTGGAGATTTAATATGGTTCATTTATGGATCCAAGGTACTAAATCAGGTATCTTTGATGGGCAAACATGTAATTATGGTAAGTCTTACAAACTAGTTAATTATACAACCACTGTGTTTATAAAATCATAGATTGAGACCCCAAAGCAAAGAGAATCAACATTTATATAGATTGCCAAGCGGCTCTTCTGGTAGTAAATAACTAAATCTTCTTCTTCTTCCTTCTAGTATATAGGCTTTAAAGCCCGTTTCTTCTTCAATATTAGCCTCCTAAATTGTTTAAATTGTCGCACCATCTTTTTCTTGGTCTGCCAATACTTCTTCGTCCATTTGGTGACTTATCTCGTGCTATTTGTACTATTATATCCTCTGCCATTCTACTAATGTGTTCGTTCCACTCCTGTTTTCGTTTTGTCACTCATCCATTTATGTCTTCTATATTGAATGCTCTTCTTATGTTTTCGCTTGTCTCTCTATCTCTATAAGTGCGACCAGCACTTAAACAAACTATGTAAGGTGAATGAACCATATATGGTGCAGAAAATGTAAAATGTAAGAAGAGACAGGAATCCTGAGGCACCGATCAACTGAAGTTTGAACTAGAAGAGATCATAAACTATTAATAAGAAAACTGTTGGCCTTCGTTGAGGCGACAGAACTTATTAGAGTTTAATAAAAAAAAAAACAAAGTATGGTACAAAATTTTGCGGCCAAGTCCAGAAATTAATGAATCTTGCTTGAACCAAGAAAAAGAAAAGAAATATATCTTTTTGTATATCACAGTATCGAAAAAATAATTTATCGAACCTTTGGAAATTATTGCTTAATTAATATTGCTTAATGTTTTTTCGAAATGGTCTAAAGCGTTCACCAGAAGATTTTTCATAATCTTCACGAACAATGTAGATCAAGCTCTTAGAATAATTTACATGACACATTTACAGAATGAAATTAGTTAGTTGGCATTGTTTCATCAACACTTTGTGGGAGACCCGTAACTCTTCAAGTTTCATCGAATTTCATACAATCAATTCCCAACAATTTTAATCATTAAAAATTACAAATTGATACAATTTCCAAATATTTATGAGTGTAGAGTGGTTTTAACTTATAATTATTTTCCTTATTTTTTACATCTTTGTCTATTCCTAAATTTATTGATGCTTTTTGATTACGTTTTGAGTTACATAAAATTTAATTGCTTTGATTTTGAATTATTTTATGTTAGGTAAATATTAAAACATGGCAGAAACGAACTATAAGTTGCATATATTTGGCGTTACTAATCTCACTAAATGAACAACCGCATTGTATATAACATATTATTATGTGCAATATATACTATATTGCATATAATATTTTTATGCTATAACATTATCGTCATATATGTATCATCACTTAAAATAAATTGAGCAGACTTATACACGCTAGCATTATTATGACTACATAATTTATAATAAAAAACCGAAAAGAAAAAGAAGTAGACCAATTGATTGACAGTTGTCCAATAACAATAGAAGTATAATTTCTCTTTTAAATTTTCAGAAACAGGTAATTCCAATTTAAATACTGATTTACATAAAATTGGGATGTTTTCTTAAGTTTGTAAGTATTTTAATATCAATATTCACTATCTATTTTATAATTCGGAAAGTAGGACCAACATAACCTAACATGTTATTTTTAGATGGCCCTAGGAATTGGTCGTCTAATTAAGAGATACTGCATTGTAACAACATTACCCCTAATTGTGGTGAGCAGTATTTACGCGGATTATAACCGTACTCAACTATTTAAGGCTAAAGTCAAAAAAGAAAATGTTCTATCCAATTATTCCTAAAGGAATAGGCTGGGCAGTCTTTCCAGCTGTTGGGTTTGCTATAGGTTGGTACTTAGATAAGCAAGAAACAGAGCGACTTTCTCTCTTCCGAGATAAGAGCGCGCTTTATGGTAGAGTACTCAAGGAAGGAGAGAAACCTAGCTGGTAATTGTAGATAAATTTGTAGTAATATAGTATGTAAATATTATAACATTGTTTTATTTCTTCCTTCCTCTTTAGTCTGCATTCATTTATCAAAAGAGCTGGTTATATAGTTCAGTGATACAACATTTTCAGAACATATACCTTGGAATTTATTGATGACTGATCTTGCTTATTACATAACCTAGTAGTATATTTAAAAATAATTTATATAGACATAGTGTATGTGTATGAATTGTAATAGAACTTTTTACATTAAAACTAGATGTTAGGTGTACTATTCATTTTAAATAATTTTATTCTTTTATACTCTTTCTAGATCATTCTGCACTCTGCATTATTTTTGTGCATTATCAAAGTTTGTTGTATGACTTGGCTTTTGTTATAATTTTCTTCCACTCATTTAGATCTGTGTATAGTTTCATCCAGTTTCTCACTTTCAGGATTCATGAACTGATCCTCCCATCTCTCTGTGGGTCTTTCCGTTTCTGGAGACCTTAATAAGTAGGTATTTTTTGTTTGGTCTATGTGTTTCAGCGATCTCAGTCTCTACACTTTAATAAATATAACTGCCTTTATTATGTCTCTCAGTTCATGGTTCATTCTTCTCATTTCTCCATTTTCCATTCTTATTAAGCCAATAATTCTTTTTAGGATTGTCCTTTTGAATATTATTAATCTTTCTTTATCTTTGTACATTGTCCCAGCTGCATATGTATCTATTGGTCTGATTGCAACTCTATATTTTCAGTTTTGTATTTCTGGATAAGTTCTTGTCCGTTCTTAGCCTATGGTATCTCCAGTACATTTTGTTGCCTGCTAGTAATTACTCTGTTACTTCTTTGTTTCTCTTATTTTTGCCATTTACAATTACTTCCAAATAAGTATTTAAATTGTTAAGCTTGTTCAAAAGGTCTATCTTGATTTCTCTAGTATTGCTACCTTCTCTTCTAGAGCAGATTAGATATTTTGTTCTTCCTTCATTAATCTCTAGACCTCTTTTCCATGCATATGCTACTATTTGTGTTAAGGAGTGGGCTATAGCTCCTTTATTTCCACTGGCCTTCACTGTTTGTTCTACTGCTATGTTGAATAGTGTGGTTGACAGGTAAGCACTTTGTCGCACTCCTGTATCTATTGCAACTGGGTTTGTGCTATGTTCTGTTGTTTTTTCTTCTTCTCATTTTTGTTCTTCTGATTAGCTTTTCCAGCATATCTTGATATTTTATTTAATTAAATAATTTATTTCTTCCAATATAGTCAAAGGCTTGCCTGGACCCTGAAAAGAGGCTGTGGAGTTTTATGTTGTGTTCATGGCATTTCTCAATTGTTTGTGTAATTATGTGGATCTGCTGTCTCTGAATCCCAGCTGGTAGATCCCAATTTTTTCTCTGAAGTAATGTTAGAATTTTGTATGCTGTACTCATTAGATATTCTTCTATAGTTGTTAAAGTCTGTTACTTTTCCTTTCTTAAATATTGTTATACTTCTGTCTTCTTTCTAATCCTCAGGCATTTCTTCTGCTTCTCATATTCTAACTATTAGGGTGTAGATGCCTGTTAATAATTGTTCTCCTCCATATTTGATTTTCTCATTAAGAATTTCATCTAAGCCAGGTGATTTTTCTGTTTTATTATTTTATTGGTGTGTAAGTATTCATCATATGTTGGTAGCACTATCTTATTATCTCTTATGTCTTCAATTGCACATTCTTCCTTTTCAGAGCTTGTTTTACATCTATCTAGTTCTGTGAAGTATGTTTCCTATAATCCATTGTCATTTTAACAACTGGTCTGCATTTTTTTGTTGAACTTTTACAAATCCAAATAGTTAAACACCTCATTACTATTCTCTTCTAGGTCCTTTAACAACTCTTCCATACACAGTTTTTTTTTTGTTTTTGCAATATTGGTGTGCTATTTTCTTTGTATTAATTTCTATAACGTTCTTCATTAGTTAATATATTTCCTTCCCTCCTAGCACCTCTTCAACTGAATTCAAAATGGATTCTGTTATATTTTTCCATATTTCATTGAGTTTCTCTTAGTTTCTGAAACTCTTAGTTTCTGTGCTCTTAACTTCTCCAGGTTCCAGCTCATTGTGCTGTGTCTTGTTCTCTTTGTTTTAATTACCTTTATTTTTATTTTTCCTGTTACTAGAAAATTGTCTGTGTCTGTGTTTGCTCCTCTATATTATCTGACGTCATGTATTATTGTTTTCCATTTTTTGGATATTAGTATATAATCTATCTGATTGCCATCTGTTGTGCCAGGTATTAGCCATGTTACTTTATGTTCTCTTCTGCATTAAGTTTGTGCTTATAATGTAACTGTTTGTTATCGCTGCTATGTGGCATCATTTTCTTTCGTTATCGTTTGTCTCGCCCTGAATAGTTTATTTCCCTGCTATTTCCTTATTTTGATTGATTTTACTTACTTTTGTATAAAAGTCACCAACTATTAGTACTATCTAGTAGTACTAGTTTTCTAATATTACTATTAGTAATATATACTATAGTACTATTAGTTTCTGGGTTATCTTTCATATGATTCTTCCAGCTGTTCATAAAATTTAATTTTATCATTTTCTGGTACATTTTCTTTGGGTGCATATATGTTTATGCTTGTCATATTGGCCTTCTATTTTGGTTTTGGTTTGTTTTTTATTTTTATATATGACATTCGACCAGTTATAACTTTAAATTCTATAATATCGTCCCTTATCTTATTTTTGACCATAAATGCTGTGATGTCTCAGTATATATTCTTCGTCCAGGGTTTCCTTGAGGTGTTTTAGTATTCACAATTTAGCTTTGTCTCTGTTTATCCTATATCCTAAGCTTTCCACATTATATGTTTTATCATATATGTTTAGTTTTAATCTATCATCCTTCTTGTTGTTTCCATCTCTTTTTTTTATGTTTAATTCATTGTTCTCTTCCAGTACTAGTTTCGTCATCATGTTTCCAAAATCGTTTTCTTCAGTTTTATTTAGTCTCTTTAAATCCCATAGACGCATTGCCGAATTGTTTTAGTGATACTAGCCGTTTGCTCTTTTCTATGTTCCATTTTTACATATAATCCCAGTGTTTAGTCTTTACCCAGTATTTTTTGTGGTCGTGGGTATTTTCCATCATGTTTTTTTCGCTATGTTTTCTGGTTCATTTTCGTCACCTGTTGATTCCTCTGTAAGTATATGTTCTTCGTCTAGGTTTTTCTTGAGGTGTTTTAGTATTGCTTCTTTTAAGTGTTGTTTAAGAATCCTTCTCTTGGTCGTGTATCTCACTGGAGTAATCTTCATTGAATAAATGTCCGTTTATTTTGGACACCAACGCATTTTACATCTATTATGTCAGTGTTTACATTTAGTGGCACTTAGAGATTTTAAGTGCAATATTTTTATACTAGTTTTTTTTTACAATTTTCTTGTTCATATTCTTGTTCTGTTGTAGCATATACTATAATATTTTTCTTTCTTATTTCTCTTTCTAGCTCTTCGGGGTATAATCTCGGATAACCCAAAAAACTTTTTTCTTTCGTAAAATTTCTTCATAGCATGCTAATAAGTTTTTTTTATTCTACCCTTGTTTTATGAAAGCGCTCTTTTCGTTGTAGTCTATATTTTCAAAAAAAATTAACCCCTTTTCAATTGTACTAAGCCCTTCCAGTCAAGTTTCCAACCGTCATTTCATCTTTTGCTTGAACTGGATCTAAACAATAAAGTTCTTCAGTGCCTTGCTCTTGCTCATGAATTTCTGTGAGATCTTCAATCAGCTTCTGATTGTGGGAATCCAGAAGTAACTGTCATCACTATCTACTTCCTAATTTATTCGCATGGTGATATTGAATTTCATCAGACTCTGGCGTTGATTCAACCGGCGTGTCAGTGATGAAAAAAAGGACACAGTTTTTGCCAGAAGCTATTTTGCTTTTTTTTTAAATTTCATTCCAATGTTATCCAATGATTCTTACTGCATCCAAAAGATTGAATTGTTTCCAAAAGTCTTTAACAGAGACCTCGTTGTTGTTTCTCATTGTCTTATACATATCTATTTTCACACTAAGATTGCTCTGAATTGTTAACTGAAGTTTTAAATTTATATACGTAATTCATAGATTCTTGTCACACAACTACGAAAATTATTCTCATCCATCACCGTGTTTGAAAATTTGCGACCAATTTAGTAAAAAAATACCACATAAAGAAAGCAGTTTTAATTTTACTATTAGTGTGAATATGGTAGACAGAAAAACAAATCACAGATCTGTGATATTACAGAGAGATAACTCAGGGAGACAGAACACTATGGGAGGAGTTAGTTAATAAAGGTAAACATGAAATTAAGTATAGGGGGCTTATTCTTTCTAACAAGACAGCAGGTATTGATACATTTAAAAAAGATACATTAAAAAAACAATTTAGATAAAATTTATCCCTGAAGAAAAGTTTTAAGAAAAATATATAGCTTGCTTTTGGATCAGCATAAAGAAACACCTAATCGCGTAAAAACAATTTTAACTAGTAAGCCAGTATTGCAATTTTTTTATGTTAAAAGACAAATAATAAAGTTTTTAAGGCAATCCGGTTTTCTTGGAAGGTTGTGGAACTTGGCTATTTTATGTAAAACCATTCGATGATAGTTCTTTCTCAAATTGGGAATTCAGAAGTAAGCTACTTTCAGACCAACAAGATGTACTAAATGTTTGGACAGAAAAACCCCTTATCAGTAAAGAAGACTTTGCGAGATTTAATTAAGTAATACAGCCTCAAAGCCAATCTCTTGCCTTGGGAGTGAGTTGGTGATGTGGTTAATTGTTTGTTCAACAACGCTGCATTTGTCACATCCCGGACTTGCATTTATACTCCATTGGTTCAGAGATTTGTTACAAACTCCATGACCAACTCGTATTCTATTGAGGTTGCACCATTCACGACGAGGAAGGGAAAAGCCGTCTGGTTTATTTGTAGGGTTTTCTATGAGATTATCGTTTCTGATATCTGTATTCCATTCGCACAACCAGTGCTCCTCAGTAGTGAAATCAGGC